TGAGACATTCAGATGGTAGAGTCAGAATTTGGCGTAAACAGAATGAGAGCATGGATCCATCATGCCTTGTTACCACTGTGCAGGCTGGTGGTGGTGGTGTAATGGTGTGGGGGATGATTTTTCGGCACACTTTAGGCCCATTAGTGCCAATTCGCCTTTGGCTAAGCCATACCCTAGAATGTAGCTTGACCAATCACAGCGCAGCCAAGAACGAGCTCCCACAGTGGTCCGACACTTTTTCACAGCTCTCCGACACTTTTTCACAGCGCTCCGACACTTTTTCACAGCGCTCCATTGACTTTAACACAGGCGTCTCATATTTTTGGTCTCGGCCGGCTATTACCGTCGTAGTTTTATCAAAAATATGGTTAAACGTTGTGCCTGGGGCATTTGTAACACAGATACGCGTTTCCCAGAGAGGTTGGAGGGGGGTGTCCGTTTTTTTCCCTTCCCAAACCGAAGTCAAATCCTGACAAGTGTCGTCTAGCACACGCTGCTAATAAATACAACGTTATACTCGCGTAGTTCGTTTTCTTTGTAATAACGATTATAGAAGTGAATAGAGACCTACCCAGCTTTGCATGAACAGTGTTGCTCCTTGATATTGTTAGTCCCAGCCTCTGTCTCGATTAGTAGGATATGCGGTGGTTCATTTTTTGACTGTTCATTTTTTGTATGCTTTTGCCTCTATTTGGATGCCTTGTTGTTCCTTGCGTTTCACCTGTATGTCGTGAATATAGCCTTCGAACGTATATTGCAGCCCTTTTGCCTACTTCTATCGGACACTTTATTTGCTGCTTTATAAAAGTTTGATAATATTTCAGCAGGAAGAGCTGTCACAGCATAAGCCATGTTGATACCAGAGCCCAGATGAAGCTTGTTTGTCGGACGTAGCAACAGTAACTAAGGGGGGCGGGGCTTAGCCAAAGGCGAATTGGGCATCGTTTAAATGCCACGGCCTACCTGAGCATTGTTTCTGACCATGTCCATCCCTTTATGGCCACCATGTACCCATCCTCTGATGGCTACTTCCAGCAGGACAATGCACCCTGTCACAAAGCTCGAATCATTTTAAATTGGTTTCTTGAACATGAAAATGAGTTCACTGTACTAAAACGGCCCCCACAGTCACCAGATCTCAACCCAATAGAGCATCTTTGGGATGTGGTGGAACGGGAGCTTCGTGCCCTGGATGTGCATCCCACAAATCTCCGAGAACTCGGGTCTCCCGAAGCACATGCCGGTGCACTTGCCCACGAGGCTATCGTGTGAAAACAATTAATAAATAACAAATGTACATTATTAGACAAAACTTAGCTATACTTTGTACAAAATACTATTGTATACTATAATGTATTTTGAAAGTATACTTTCAATGCATTGTTACAATGATAATTTCTAGCACACAGTTAAAATATACCTAAAATATATTTTTAATAAAGTGCAAATAAATAGCCTACACTTTTAAAAAATAAACTGAATTTTCACTTCAAGTATAGGCTATTTTTCTAAAATATATTTTCAGAAAATATACTAAAGTACAATTATTTTAAAATGTGTTAAAAGTTGTATTGTGAAAACATAAGTAAAAGCATGATGCTAATATATTTAAAGATAGTAAAAATTTGTGTTACTATATTTGCAATGTACTATTGAAAAAGGGAATATATTTCAAATACAATAAAGTATACTCTTTTTCACTAGGGTTCTCTTATTATCAACAACAAAAAAAATATGCTGACTTTTTTCTTTTTTTGATTTAAAGGTACATTATATAACTTTTTTGACAGAATTTCTTTTTTTCACAAAATATTTTTTTTACAGAATTTTCATGTTATATTTGCATAGAGATTAATGTTGTAACTGTTACTGAAGCTTATACTTTGCAGGTCACATTTGAAAAGACTTCAGTCAAGGATGCACATGTGTTTCCTCACTGTAAGCTCCTCTGGAAGCATCCTATCTCTCCGACCTCCTCGTTCCACACAGAGCATTTCGAGAATTGATATGTCCGTCATGATGGCGGACGACTTCGATCGATTCTGGTTCACTGGTTGGAGGAAGGAGCAGCGACACATGTATCCTGTACTGTTGAAGCACTTTTTGTGCTGTGCACTACACAGTGTTTATATTATTCAAAGAAACCAACATGCTTATGCTGTCTCTGTGTATGGAATGCGAGATGGATTTTAACATGAATGGTTTTAGAAACTGTTATGTCAGAAGAAGCCTTTGCCCTTCTCTTTCCTTTTCATTTCATCCATTTCAATGCTCGCTCTTTGTTTTTCTGTTTCTTATTTCCTGTCTCACCAGGAGAATTGTGTTTGAAGTCACACTCCCGTTTGGAGCAGATCAATTCACATCAAAAGAACAGGTTTTTATTTCCTTCTCTAATGTAACGTGGGATGACTGCATGGTTGAGATTGCTTATACATGATGCAGATTGGTTGATTCAGTCTTTTGGTTGCACTGATTTGTTCTATGGGTCGTTTCATTTGGTGCCATTTGGGTTTTGAACTGGGAAAAAGGCCTTTTTATGGCAACACTATCAACACCCAAATGAACCTGCAGTGGTCAGGTGGTACAGCGGTCACCTGGTACAAGTAGCTCTCCGAAAATTCCCATCTTACAAGCTGTAATTACGAGCTCTACGAGAACGTGAATGCTTTTTACGAGTTGAAATCTCGCAATTATGGTTATTACAACATGGTGTGAATGCACCTTGAAACTCTGACATACTACATCTGCCACGTTGTCATTGTCATGTGGAAAGGGAAAGAGTGGGAGGACCTGAGGATTCTGGAGCTGAGGGATTGGATGTTAATTCTTAATTCTTTTTTACTAATTAATTTACATAAAAAATGTTTTTGTAATTTTTCACATCATTAAAATTGAATTTAAACTTTTGGTAACACTTTATTTTGATGGTCCCTTTTGAACATTCTGTTGACTATAAGTAACTTTGCAACTACATGTCAATTAACTCTCATTAGAGTATCAGTAGACTGTCTGCTTAATATCTGCTAACTCTTTATTGTGTTGATCCTCCAACAGACATTCTACTGACCATAAGTAACTTTGCAACTACATGTCAACTTATTCTAACCCTAACCCTACCAGTCTACTAATACTCTACTAACACTCTAGTGAGAGTTAGTAGATGTAGGTGCAACATTACTTATAGTCAACTTAAAGGGGCCACCCAAAGTGAAACCAAACTTTTAATTTAAAATAAAATAAATTAAATATTAATCTCCTTCACTGATTAATTTACAACAACAAATGTTTTGTAGTTGTTCGCATCATTAAAAAAATAATAGGATTAAACACCAAATTAATTTAAATTGCAAGCATGGCGTTAGCAACACAAAGGTCATTGGTTCGATTCCCAGGGAATGCATGAATTGATAACATTTGTAATTGATGTAAATGTATTTTGTTTTGGATAAAAGTGTCTGCCAAATGCATTCATGTAATATTGATAATTGCTTCATATTTACAATAACTTTCATATTTGTATCATATTAACATCATTGTCTTTTAAGACATTTTAGGAAATGGAAGTAAAATCTATGTAGCATAGAATGAGGAAAGACAAAAAAAAAAAACGTTTTAGGCATGGAAATATGTAATTGTATATGTAAATAGAAAAATCTGTTTTTATTTACAGATGCTGTTTGTAATGCGATGTCATACTTGACTTGAAAGACACTGTCAGCTTGCCGGAAAAATAGGTGGAAAAGACGCCAAGGCATTGAACTATTTTCTGCTGCGAAACAATATAATTCAGCACTAACAAACAGATCTCTGTGAGTGAAATTGAGCTCTTTCACCTTGAGAATGTCTATTTCCCATTTATTGAAAGTAATTAAACTTTGGAAAATATTGCAGTGCTGAGGAAATTGATTTTGCAAGTGGCAAAATGTGACCTAGTATACGAGGTATAGAGCAGAACTGGGTTGAATGAAATTATTTCTGGCTCTGATGAGAGATTGATTTTGTAGTACATTTACAGTAGTTTGATCATCCCTATTGTAAAAATGATGATGGAGTGCAAATACACACAATGTGGAGCCACCGATCACATCTCCCGTCGACTCCGCTTGCCGATAAATATCGCTCTTCCAAAAATATTTATGCTCAATTGGTACTAAGGGGCCCAAAGTGTGCTAAGAAAATATCCCTCACACCATTACACCACCAGCAGCCTGAACCATTGATACAAGGCAGGATAGAATGGATCCATGCTTTCATGTAGTTTAAATTCTGACCCTACAGTACCATCTGAATGTCGCAGCAGAAATCGAGACCCATCAGACCAGGCAACGTTTATTCTAGTCTTTTATTGTCCAATTTTGGTGAGCCCGTGTGAATTATACCCTCAGTTTTCTGTTCTCAGCTGACAAAAGTGTCACCGGTGTGTCTTCTGCTGTAGCTTTTCTGCTTCAAGATTGGACCTGGACGTGTTGTGCGTTCAGAGATTATCTTCTGCAGACCTCGGTTGTAACAAGTGGTGAGTTACTGTTGCCTTTCTATCAGCTTGAACCAGTCTGGCCATTCTCCTCTGACCTCTGGCATCAACAAGGCATTTTCACCCACAGAACAGCCACTCACTATTTTCTAATTTTCTGACTATTCTCTGTAAACCCTATATTTGTGCTTGATAATCGCAGTATATCAGCAGTTTCTGAAATACTCAGACCAACTCGTCTGTCACCAACAGCATGCCACGTTCAAAGTCACTTAAATCACCTTTCTTTCCCATTCTGATGTTTAGTTTGAACTTCAGCAGATCGTCTTTACCATATCTACATGCCTATATGCATTGATTTGCAGCCATGTGATTGGCTGATTAGATTAACAAGCAGCTGAACAGATGGACCTAATAAAGTGGTCACTGAGTATTCTATATTAAGATAGGCCTATACTGTATTAAACATGATATCTTAATGGGTAGCATAAGCTCCACTTCATCTGACAGTAAATGTAATGCTGTTAATAGCTCTGGCGCCGGGATGTTTCCAACCGCAGCCCGCCTTGATGCAGTGATTGACAGGACGGGGCAGGGACGTAATCGGCTCGGTATGCATTTTCAGATCCACATTGAATTTTGCTATATTGATTATGTAAAATTTATTGAAAATGAAATTGCAAGTGTCTTAAAGGGGTCATATAATGCCATTTTTGTACAAGCTAATATGATTCTTTAGGGTCTAAATTAAAAGTTTGTAATATACTTTAATTAAAAATTCTCATTAGTATTGTAAGAAAACACTTATTTTACCTGGTCAAAAACAGCTCTGTTTTCAGCACGCCGTTTCAGTGCATATGACTTTAAATGATAATGAGCTTTGCTCACCCCACCTCTCTGTTCTGTGCGTACACCATTTGTAACTCAATAACACAATAACCATAACGCGTTGTTCAGTATAAACGTGGGATAATGAATTATATTGAGAACGTCATACATAGAAAACATGCCGTAATGTACCCTGAGTGTAAACCTTAGACGCATTCATTGTGAAGCATGCAGCTAGCGATTTGCAAAGATTAACATATTAATATAAAGTTTAATAAAACTCACTTCCGTTCTTCTGGAGATTCAGCAGGAACACGAATATCTGGTACCGATCCTTTTTTCATGTCTTAGCAAATCCAGCTTTATACTGACCCTCGTTTATAAAGCAGTCTGGTGAGAAATGATTCGCGCAAACATGAGAGCATTGACGTTGCTCGTGGAGAATATTCCCTTCGAAAACAAACACAGCCACTGCGTCTTCAGCGGTTCGGATTTAGGAACATTAAAATGACTGCTGTGTTCGTTATTACACCCAAGAACAGAACACCACAATCGCTTAGACGCCATTCTGCTCATAGACAGTGCTCCAGCATATCAACAATGACCGCGCCACGCAGACTATGATTGACAGCTCCCTCATGAGCGAGGGCGGGTCTGTGTTGAAACGCTCGAGTCCTGTCAATCAACAATCGTGGGAGGGGCGTGCGAACTTGTGACGTCAAAGGCTCGAATGGCTCGATTTGAGGCAGGGGAAAACATAAGGAGATTAAACAAAACCACTGGATGGATTTTTATCATTATATGATGGTTGTGTACAGGCACTGCCAACACACATTTCAGTACAATCAACTTGTAAAAGTGCATGTACCATTATATGACCCCTTTAACTGTGAGTGTAAATGCAATGAAGAAAAATAACATTTAAATTACAATTTTACAACAATTTTTGCTTGAACACGTTAAACATATCTAATCATTTCTGTAATACATTTTCATTTTAATGCAACTTATAAAACATTTAAATATATGTTTCAATTATAAGTTAAAATGAGTGTAGGAAATAGCAAATGTAAATTATATTATTGAATTTGAATGATAATTTTGCTCTAAATGTACTTCCCTATCAGGGAACTCGAGCTGCGTGACAACGCTTTTGGGAACGCCCCTGCGTGAGTGCGTCATGAAGCACGTATGAAATCAGTCCAATGGCGAGACAGAACGTCATAGGCGGGTGACGTCATCGACCAGGAAACTATATAAGCACCCCAAACACAAGCGCGTCAGCTTCTGAAGTCTTCAGCAAGCGCTCTGTGTGTGAAATATATCAGTCTCTGTCTCAAAGTGTTTTTGTCTGTCCTTAGAAATTGCTAGGCAGGAGTTTTTCACATATATATAAAAAAAAAAAAAAAACTATAAAGAGACAATATTACGGCGAGCGAACAGCAGTTCAGAAAGTGTGTTCATCCCTGCCCACGTTATATCACGGGTGGGGACACTCACGATCTGTGTGTTGTTTGTATGGGAGTGCAGCATGCCCAGTCAGCTCTCGAGGGAGCTGATTGCGAGCATTGCGAGCGTATGTCACTGAAAACGCTCCGCTCCCGCCGAGCCCTCTTCGAGGAGAGTGGTTCGGTGCGCGCTCCCCGCGGTTCGGGTCCCGCTGCTGCCGAGGCACATCGGAGGCTTCAATCGTGGGGATCGCAAATGGATCTATCAGCGGGGATTGAGACGGGCTCTGCCTTATCTCAGCCCTTACCTGGTAGATCCAGTGCCTCAGATCCCGGTGTGGAAGCACGCGCTGCGGTTTCTTCCCCCCAGGCTGAGGCACCAACACTTCAACTATCCAGTTCTGAGGAATTGGATGTTGAAAGTGTTGATACAGCAGAGACTGGGGACTCGTCACTTCAGTCTCCTGCTAGTGAGGAGCTGATGGAGGTGCTCACTCGAGCTGTAGAAAAACTAAGCATTGAGTGGCCAGCTGAAAGACAGGAATCTCGTTCAAGAAGTAAACTAGATGAGAGATTTCTGCCATCTCGGGCTGCACCTCCACGCCGGTGTCTTCCGTTCTTTCCTGATCTCCACACCGAGATGTCGAGATCATGGAATAGACCGGTGTCAGCCAGAATATTTACTCAACAAACATCTGTTTATTCTAATATTTCTGGTGCTAAGAGCTTTGGTTACAGGGCGATGCCTAAGGCTGAGGAGATTTTAGCGAGCCATCTTTCTCCAAATACAGCATCGTCTTTTAAGACACCGGCGTTGCCCACCAAGCCATTAAGAAATACTTCGGCTTTGGTGGGCAAAGCTTACTCGGCGGCAGGTCAAGCGGCAGCGTGTTTGCATACTATGTCCATCCTACAAGCATATCAGGCAGACCTGTTGCAAGACATTAGTGAAGGGGATGAAATCGGTGCAGATGTGATCCGTGAACTACGTCAGGCAGCTGATCTTTCTCTCCGTGCCACCAAAGAGACGGCCAGATCAGTCGGCCGCTCTATGTCAGCTATGGTGGCTACGGAGAGGCACCTATGGTTGAACTTATCAGACATGAAAGATAAAGATAAATCTTTTTTACTGGACGCCCCGCTTTCGACTGTTGACCTTTTTGGTGACTCGGTAAACTCGGTCATCGAAAGGTTTCAGGAGGAAAAAAAGCAGGCGGCGGCGCTCCAGAAATTTCTCCCCCTCCGTGTCCATGTCTCCGGGGCTGCTGGGCGGGAGCAGCCCCGGCCGTCGAGTAGCTCCTCACACAGGGCGCAACAAAAGAAGAGTGTCGCGTCTCGCGCTCCTCCCCAGCAAAACTGGGCCGAGGCGCGGCGCTCTCAGACGAGGTCTTCCAGGGGCAAAGCCGATCTGAGGACGGTTATTGTCGCCAAGAAGGCTTCGTCGAAGAAGTCCTGACGCCAAAGGTGTCAGGGTGCTGAGGGTGGTCCCCACCGAGAGAGAAAGGTGTTCGCCGCTGTACACGGCGCCCGTTCTGTCTCGGTGCCCTCAGGGGCCCGTTCTGCCAACCCCGCCTGCGTGCCGGGGCGTAGACGGTCCCAGCGAGCGCTTTCCCGAGGGACGCTCGCCCGCTCTGAGGAGCGGTTTAGAGCGGTCAGACCAGTTGTTCCCTGCCGGTGCGCCGTTACAGGGCACTGTGTCTGCCACGCAAAATATTCCAGAGGCCAGTCTCGAGAGACTGGTACCCTTAGTAGAATTTTTGGCAGAGTGGAAAAGCCTTCCAAATGTATCTCATTGGGTCCTGCAGACTATCGAGAAGGGGTACGCGATTCAGTTCAGATCACGCCCGCCTCGCTTCAGAGGGGTTCTGCCCACAGTGGTGGGCCCCGAGCAGGCTCTGGTTATGGAACAGGAGGTGAAAACTCTCCTGCTGAAGGAGGCTATAGAACGAGTTCTTCCTCCCAGCAGAGAGTTGGGTTATTACAGCCGATATTTCATAGTTCCAAAGAAGGATGGGGGGTTGCGTCCAATTTTAGATCTGCGCCTGTTAAATCGCTCAGTAGGGAAGCTCAAATTCAAAATGCTTACTCTCAAGCAGATCGTGTCACAGATCAGGTCCGAGGACTGGTTTGTCACGATAGATCTAAAGGACGCGTATTTCCACATTTCCATCCTTCCACAACACAGGAAGTTCCTGAGGTTCGCTTTCGGGGGCGAAGCGTACCAGTATCGGGTTCTTCCGTTCGGCCTAGCACTGTCTCCCCGAACTTTCACGAAATGTATGGATGCAGCTCTGGCTCCGCTGCGACTCCAGGGCATCCGCATTTTAAACTATATCGACGATTGGTTGATTCTGGCTCAATCGGAGCATCAGGCGATTCGGCATCGAGATGTCGTTCTCGCCCATATCAAAAAGTTGGGGTTGAGGCTCAACGCCAAAAAGAGTGTGCTTTCTCCAGTACAGAGGACCACTTTTCTGGGCATGGTTTGGGATTCAACGACGATGCAGGCACGTCTGTCTCCTGCTCGTATAGCTTCGATTCTCTTAGCCGTCAAACAGGCAAAGCTAGGCCAGTCACTCACTGTAAAAGAATATCAGAGGATTCTGGGTCTGATGGCAGCAGCGTCCAACGTTATACCTTGCGGCCTGCTGTACATTAGACCACTGCAGTGGTGGCTCAGGACCAAGGGGTTTTCCCCGAGGGGAAACCCGCTCCGCAAGATCAGGGTAACGCGACGGTGTCTCCGTGCTCTGGCTATGTGGAAAGAACCTTGGTTCCTGTCCCTAGGTCCTGTGTTGGGGGCTCCGTGTCGTCGTGTAACACTAACGACGGACGCCTCTCTCACAGGCTGGGGGGCGATCATGAGTGGTCGCTCGGCCCAGGGTCTGTGGCAGGACCATCATCTTCATTGGCACATAAATTGTCTAGAAATGATGGCTGTGTTTCAGGCTCTGAAACACTTCCTCCCAGACCTGAGAGGTCACCATGTTCTTGTCCGCTCAGACAACACATCGGTGGTCTCTTATATAAACCATCAGGGGGGTCTGCGTTCGCGCCCGTTATACAAGCTGGCTCGCCAGATCCTTCTATGGTCCCAGGGGAAGCTTCTTTCATTGAGGGCAATTTATATCCCGGGATATTTGAATCAGGGGGCAGACATCCTGTCGAGGCAGGGGCCGAGGCCCGGGGAGTGGAGACTCCACCCCGAGGTGGTGGAGCTCCTATGGAAACATTTCGGTCGTGCCGAGGTAGACCTATTTGCATCCAGGGAAACATCACACGGCCAACTGTGGTTTTCCCTAAGTCCTCCAGCCCCTCTGGGGTTGGACGCGATG